AAAGAAGCTTTCAACTCGGATTTTATGAAAATCAGATCAGGAATCAGGACGACCAAAAGTGGATATGTCTGCCCTCATCAGAACTTAGCCAACGATTGCGACCATTATTAAGGAAATGGAGCATCAAGGCGATAACAAAGGAGAAAAAAACACTTTTCACCATTCTGCCGACGCAACATGAGTATACGAACAAAGTTGATTGCTCGGGAGTTTATTGCATCAAATGCGGCAACTGTGAGCAGAAGTATATCGGTGAAACAGGAATAAAAATCGACCTACGAATAAAGGAACACCAAAGACTCTGCAGGAACATGGATACGAAAAGATCCGAAATAGCGGAACACATTGTACGAACGAGGCACGAAATCGACTGGAAACCGACCGAAAGGTTGACTGCATATGGTGAAACTACGAGAAAACGTAAGATTCGAGAGGCCATAGATATACTGACCGGGAAAAATATAATGAAGAGGAGACTTGAAGAAGGTAGGATCAACAAAAACTTTGCATATTGTCTAAACAAACTCCGAGGATACCAGGCAACAGTAAGGTCAGCAAAAGGAAGACGACTGGATCAAAGTAATATCCTTAATTTTAGGAAAAAAGATCGCAATGAGACCAGAAAGGAACAATCAGAAGCAAAGAGGTGAGGTCTTCAGTAAGCCTACTCAAAACAAGTAGAACCACGACACTTGTGGGTTGGCACACAAGAGACTAGGACATAAGGAGTGATAGACATAGTATTACAGATAGAAACAGGAAAGATACGATAGAGACTAGAGATATTTGGCTAACAATAGACGTGTTTTATCATAGACGTGATCCTTGAATCGACTATTTTTAGCCAACTAGCTCTAGCTTCAATTGCTTCTATTCTCTTCCTATCTATAATATCAAGTCTATGACTCCCTATGTCCTAGTCTCTTGTAGTTCAACATGAAATCTAATCAAAGCAAGCAGTACTATGACATTCGTGGGTTAGCACACAAGACACTAAGGCATAGCATGTCATAGGCTTGGTATTGAGGATAGAAACATGGTAGACTGGTCAAAGACTGGATCTAGTTGGCTGACAGTAGGTTTTACCATAGACGTGGTTCAAAGGAGCACACGGCACTACATCTAAATCAGCACGGTTAAAATTGTAACAGTGAAGGCGTGATAGGAGGATATAGGAAATGTGAATAGCCCAGAGCAGAAGGAGAGATAACACAACTTTTTAGCACACGTTTGGTCGAAGGATCGGCTTCAATTTCCATTGACGAGTTGTGTGGTAATAAGAATGAAATAATAGTAAAATTACTATGGTTTACAGACTAGTATTCAAGCTCCATTGTTTATGTGTTTATAACATAAAAATGTCTTACAATTCGGACATGTCGAAGTTAAGCCCTGTTGTTTTGGCAATATGAAATTGAAAGGGACATATTAAATTGCTGAAATGGATTTTTCTGTTAAAATTCATTTATTCGGTAGATTTACTTACGCGAAAACCATTAAGAAAACTTCCTCACATATATGATTATTGCCTCTTCTATTAAGGGCAGAGAGGAAGTTTTCTTAATAAGGCCTTAATGAGTCGGAGGTACCCATCCAGTTGTCATTGCCGAAAGAATTTTTGTTTAGTTTATGTTAAAATTATGATGACAAGTGTGTATTTTAGCATGGTATAAGACATGTCCTAGAGCTCGTATGAATTGACATTCCTTTCAAGACCCTAGCCTGGCATATTATAGCTCACTATGCAGGACTATATACTGATGAGTGGGGAATGCAATTAAATTCTGCCTTTAGGTACTTCATAAGGGATATCCTTCATCCCATATCTTCAAAGCTAATTGACATAATATGACGAGTATTGTGACAGATTGATGTTGGGATACCTTTTATTTCGTTTGAAGTTGCGTATAGAAGGGATTCATAAGTTGGCCTCACCTGAAGCTGTAGGGGGGTTGTCTTGGCACTGTGACAGTAGATTTGTGCGGATAGGTCCTTGACGGACCACCCTGCGACCCCTATGAATCTTTGCCTAGCCAAATCCGTCCTATGAGAGAAACCTGATTTTTCTGCATTGTGCCAGATTATTTACTAATTAGCCAGCAATGTCTTTTATAGGGCCTCGCAAGCATCCTAAAGGACAGGTTTTACCACGTTTAGTCTTCATTTTATCTTAATTGTCATGCCCGTATATATCTATCAAACATCCCCCTTTAAAAGTCGTTTGACTTTGTTTTCGCATCTTGGTCATATTGGTAGGAAGACTTAGAGGAACGCACCTATCCCGGAGTCCATTGTATGCATAATAATTTTCAGAGTTGGACCGTGGACATAGTACATTCCCAGACGTTTCGCCAGCATCGTAGTTGGAATCGTCAATGAGTCTTGCCATTCTTAGCAGCATACACACATCCCTCGTTAATTTACACACAAAATATATGAGATGACACTATTTTACTGAAAGTTGCCATTTGGAGGAAGAATAGCTTTTTTATTTTTCTTTTCTGACAATTGTCCACACACTTTCTATTTTCAGCAAACAACCTTTTACTTGGTATATACTCCCATTTTTTTCTTTTGTATTGTTATCGATATCGTCTTTGAGGAGAATCTTGCTCAGTACGGAATCATCTTGGTTACATGAAAATCTCTATTGGCATTACTTGTGATCATTTGATAAACAATCATGTATTACGTAATTAGCTTAAGCCATGCATACCCTTTTCTTTCTTATCCTATTTTACTTTCAGGAATAATCTGGCATCAAATAGGGCGACTCAGATATAATTCGAGTGAGACGATAAACTTGTCCTCAACAGAGCCAATCATCCATTCCAACTTGGAGGGATCCCATTCTCCCCTTACAACTGCTTGCTCTGCTCCCATCCGTCGTCTGATTAATCTTCTTGATCGGCTGGATCAGCGTATAAATGCTCTGTCCGTTTACAGCGATATCCAGCAGTCGGCGGTGTCCCCGCCCTCTTTACCTCTGGACAGCAGCTGGTCTGGTTTTGGTGGTCACTCGAATCCCTTCTATTCTCACAAAGGTCTTCAACTGACTGGTTTGCCTCCTTCCTCATCCTCAACGGTCCAGGAGGCCATCGATCACCTCTATCAGAGTTTGCTTCGTCGCCAGTTAGCCTATCCCCAATGGACACAGAATGCTAGTAACTCGGAGTCAGAAGTGCAAGCTACAGGGCCGGATAGTCGCAAATATAATCAGATTCTTATTGTACTAGATGATGTTTGGGATATAGAAATAGGAAAAGTACTATCGAGTCTACCGGCTACCTTTCTAGTGACTTCGCGAAATGAGAACATTCTGAGAACCGTTAATTCTCTTACAAAAGTAAGATATATAAAATTGTTTTTGTGCTCTCTGGATTCGTTTATACCTGTTTGTTAGCCTACGGATTATATCATAATCGGATTTAATCACCATTTAGTCTTTTCTCTGATATGTTCGATATTAAATGGTATACTTGGTGTGGAATTCGTTTAATCATTTTATTCTATAGCATAATATGAAACTATAATGATCCTGATTATTTTACACCAGTCTAGCTCACTTTCTCTTAAATAGTTACATCCGGTTATTAATCCAACTATAGGGATTAGTTAACGTCCATATAAAGCCTTGCCGCTAACTCTCATAAACTCCTCTTTTGGCTTTGCTTCCATATTATATATCCCTCCAACATTTTTTAACCTAATAAATGGTTTAAAGACATCAAAGCTCGGTCTAATCTTATTTAATTTTCCATTTGTCTACATTGACTTAATTTCCGATTTTATATAGACTTGATCGGTTAGCTAACGAGAATACAGCTATGCCAAATATTCTTTATCAGTGCCTCAGAGCTTTGGACGAATATGAATCGGAAAATGTCACTGGACTGGCTTTCATATTTAACTAAAAAGAACCCACTTTTTAACATCACTTAACTTAAATGCTTTTTCTATAAAATTACTAGATTTTCCAATGTTGGCCTTCATCTCCAGCTATAATTTGTTTCATTTCGCTTGTCTCTTGCGGATCTTCGCATACAACTGTCTTGAATTAAATCTTATTAAAAAATTAATATTGTGTGGACTTAGACTTGATAGCAGTTCCCTTTAGCTGTATTGTGTTGATTTGACGTCATTTTCACAACTTGCTCAGAGCGACACGGAGGCGTTGTTTTGAGTCCTTTGCTATAGTATTCATTATAATTCCCAGCATCGGATTGTTGACTTGGCACAAAATGGTCAAGGGGATTGCCTTCACTTATTACTTTGATATGCTGACTGTTTTAAGGATGATGCCTCTTACTGAAGATTTCTTCTGATGCTGTCTTCAATGTACCAAATCAACGGTCAGTTGCCGGAAATTATTATGAATACTAAGGGTTCAGGACTAGATATATTCCACAGTCTCCCTGCCTGTCTGTTGCGAGAACGAGCTTAAACCATCACTTACTGAATTACTTTTTTAGTATTACTCTATGGCCTTGCGAGGAATTAGTTCGACCATAGAGTAAAATAATCTGTAGTCTTTGGTCTTCTTGAGAAAAGTGCATAGGATAGGCGGAATAGACCTGATCCGAATTTAACAGACCTACACTAACCTATAACCAAATACTGCAATGTATTTAATGGATATCCTTATTTTGTAATTTGGTTGATTCCGTGTTCCTCATATTGTCCTATACAAAAATCTTCAGTCTACTAGTTTGCTATAGTGATTGGTGGAAAACATTTTTTAATTGATGGTTTTAGAGAAACCACAAGAGATTACACTACATTCCGATAGCTTTTAAATACATTATTTTATTGCATAATTCGCCTTTAAATTGAAGCATAGTATAGAACACTGATGAATTGTAATTGTACTAGCAACTCTGACGATTCCAACTACTGTGCCGGCGAAACGTCTGGGAATATACCAAGTCAATAGTCCGATGTTGGAAATGTCGAATGCTCTGGCAGAGGACGCAGAACTAAGTACGTTTCCTGTCGCTCTGAGGTCAAGTTGCGTAAACGGGTTCAGACCAAATTATACAGCTAAACGAGTTTGCGACCAAACACGGGGCCAAGCCATCTTGGCTTTCTTATCTACGATAATATAGAGCAGTTTTTATTGGAGCATGCCTTTCTGGGGATGAAAGATATTATTATTAGCACTATTATCATAATAATTTCATTTTATCAATCCTGTCATGTGCGGGATAATCCGCTTGCATCAGAGTTTTTGTTGTAATAGTTGCCAGCTTGTATGGGCTGGGCCGATTTATCCTGCTCGATCAGCTTCTATTTCTGCAGTGTTGAACTAGTTGCCATATGTAATGACATGTACATGCATATCATTACTAATTTTCGAATCCATAACGAGGTTTTCTGGCTCTAGAATATAAATATGATCTAAAATTTCTTTTTATTTATTTGGATTTTGCGCTAGTTTTGATAAGCTTTTCGTATGAATTATCAGAATGTAAACAATCTCTAACTCCTTGTTGTCGTAGGTATGAAGATCAAGATGGAATGGCCTTTTGTTTGATCGAAGTCTCCTTTAGCTGTGGTATTGGCTTGATATCGTTTTTGCAACATAGTCGGGGCAACTGTGAGACCTTGTGGAACGTACCTAGTCCTTTGTCCTCTGCCTTAGCATTCGTCATTTCCCACATCGGCCCGTTGACTTGGTAAATTGTCAGACATCGTCAGTGAGAGGCGTCACCGTTAATACAAAATTATACCTTATCCTTGTTGTCACTTTGGTCTCTTGCCTGCCCAAGTGAAATGGCCTGCTATCATCGTTTAGCTAAATTAGAGCAAGTTCATCTTCTCTTAATCTGGCATCCAGAAACAATTAGAATATGCTCTTGCATATGCTAGACCATCACTGAGCTTTTCGGACATGTATTTGCTTTACTGGCTTCATTTTTTCAGCCAACTACACATAGGGCATCTTAGCTTGGTGTCTCTATAGTCATCTCTTCTTACGCAGCATATAACTATTAGCTGAGCATTTAATCTAGCCTGTCTTTCGATATTTCTCTCGGACGTAAATAAACTTCATTCACTTAAGCTCATTGTAATTTGCATGTTGGGCGATCTAATACTCATTTCTACGATTCTGTAAAAATTAATGACCCTCCAATTGATAGAAAATTTTCATTTTTTCTCATCTGTACTGCATATTCCACAATCACTGAGTCAAAAACATATTTTGGTAGTCAATCAAACCATTGCCAGTCATCCACACTTATGAGAGTATTAATCCATTGCGCAAGAGGCTACAAACCTCCGTCTACTGCCCAGGATGTCCGCATCGCCATCATCGAGTACAGTTCTGTTTTGTTTGTACAGGGATCTTCATTCCCAACGATTTCCTTTAGTTTAAGTTGTTAAAGCTAGAAAAATCTGTAAATTGTTCTTTTCAGAAACCAAGAGATAATCGTTTGGGATTTGGGGTTGCTGATATGTGTGAGCAATTCCTAGTGGGACAATCCTGCGACCACTACGTCCGTGCCTTTACAGACATCTTCTAAGCCAGAAATCATAATCTATAAAAATTGACAAATACACCAAACAATAAGAGCTGGCTGGCTGCAATCCTATTTATTGCACCCACGTTTGCAGTCTAAACGAGGTACTTCATATTTTGGCTGGTCACTTAGTACTTATCTCAGATACTTGCAGATGAGAGCTTTCTAAGGGCTTATTCTAACAAATCGATAGTCACAATTTGGGCATTCCATCGGCTTGCAAGAGGGCACTATGACTCCCATCCACCATAATGTATTGATTCGATTTATTTCACATCTGAGAACGTTAGTTTGAAATAAATGAGGATATAGAGTAACAATGGATGAATCCGTAATAGTGCTTCATAATTAAATTATTTTGTTATGAATATGCGTTGGTCAATTTCAAGACCCATATTTACCT